GCATATGAATCATATTTATATGTATGGACTTAGAATTTTTAGTAAATGTGATTCACATGGAAAAGCACATGTATACCTGCAGATTTGTAACGTTTTATGTTCAAAGCACAAGTAGTTGATGTGTTTTTGTATCTGATCTGCATAGGAAAATGTGAATCACAAGAGATTTCCATTTTCACGTTTTTCAACATTAAAGGTTCCGGATCCACATGCATACATGTGCTTTTTCATGTGATTCACATGTGAATTGTTGTGTGTACCACATACAGTAACAGCTGACATGTAGAAAATGGGTTTCACACATTATTCTCACATGTGTAATTCAATTTTTTTAATTGTTGCTCTTTGACTCTTTGATAGAAGCTGCAACATGAATGAAGAACCCACCTGTGTTGGGGATGGTCAACCTCCCACCCAGGAAGTTGAAGGTCCCATAGGATGTGTTGGCCACATCACGGGGGAGAGTTTTAAAGTAGGTCTGGGTGGATAGTCTGCTCACAAACTCAGCGGGGTCTGAGTTTAGCTTGCCGTTGTGCAGAGTGTGTGATCCGTTGGGAAGGGGGTCCAGCAGAGGGCCGTTACTCATGGAAAACTTCCCAGTGGTATCGTGACGGGAGCGCAGGGTGCCCTGATAACTGGTGGTGGTGGTTGTCAGATCAGGCTGGATGGTGAGCAAATGGGAGTTCTCTGTATGAATAATGGAAACAGAAAAAGGAAAGAAAAAAGGGAAAAGTGTGAATCTCAATAAGTGGCATGTGGGAGGAATGGGGGGGGCAAAACATCCCATAGACCTCACACTCTAAAGCTGTTTGCAACATGCACAAAAAAAATAAATAAACGAAACAAGGACTGAAAGAGACACATGGTACAGAAAACAGAGCATTCATACAAACACACACAAGCTCTGCGACACAAACTCAAATTCCACCCGAGACGCTTCAGTCCCACCCCCCACCCCCCGCTCCATCACTGCCTGCCTTTTTAGCAGCCTCACAATCAAATCCAAACAGAACTCGGTTGCAGCTTAGAATCCAGAATGCATAAAGGCTTTTTATTTCACGGTGAATCACAGACACTGCAACCCAGTTCCCCGTCTCCATCCGCCTCAGACAGTTGTATTTCTATTACTCTCTGTTAAACCTCAGAGGCTCCACACAGGCTGTAAACAGAGTAGGTACATTTCCTGACAATGAGGTGGTGGCGAAATATAATGTGTCAGGCAGGCAAATAAACAGCTCATGAGCCACAAACACACACACCATCACGTCATAACTCTTCCTTGGACCACAGACAACTTTAAATGAGTTAACACCACCTCCACAACCACAGGTTCAAAGCTACATGTGGACGGATGCTTCATGGTCACAGCGGGTTGACGGACAGACGAGGGTAAAACAAGGAACAGTGTCCTACTGCAGTGGGGAGGCCTTCGTGGCCGTGGCGCCCACACACCTGGCTTGCTGGGCTTAATGCCCATAGGCTGGAAGCCAGTGGTGAGGATGGAGGAGTCAGCCACGTCGGCGTCCAGGCCCTCTTTTTTGCGGCGGTAGACCAGGACGACCACGATGAGGAGCAGGGTAAGACAGAGGGCCACGGCCACCATGCCCACGTAGAGCGCCACATCCTCGGCTCCACTCACGGCTGCAGGCAGAAGATGGAGAAAAATCCATTAATCAAGATACAGTGAAGGGAGGATGTGTGTTCTGTTTATTTTCTCAGTGGAAAAAAAACACCCTTTTTTTGCTCTCGATCCAATGCTGCTGCATTTTATCTCGGATTTTTCAGAATCAGAATCAGAATCAGGTTTATTGCCATTGTTAGTGAAGGAGTTCACAAACTAGGAATTTTTTGTGGTACAATCGTGCAACATGAAACATATAATATGGAATAGGTAAATAAAATTATAAAAATATCTAAAACACTGTGGGTATAAGGCATGCAATAGACGAATATATACACTTAAGATAAAAATATGGATATAAAATATAAAAACTAAAATCATCTTACAAGTAGTGCAAATAGAGCAGTGTAAATGGCATGGGCAGATTATAGAGTCTTTAATCATTTAGAAAAATATTATCTGATGATACAATGACATGAAAAAACCCTAAAATCCAAATTCCTAAACTATATTTCCTCTAAATCCCAGCAAAAATAGTATCTTGCATGTTTTTACAACCTTCCTCCAGAAAAGTGTAATCTTTAAGCATATCTACATCTCTATAGAGATCCTTGGGCTACAGTAGAGATGTAACTCTTTAACTATTTGTAGATTTCTTGCTGCACTTTTATCATTTTCCTGCTACGTGAGCAAGGTTAACACCACGCATCTACTGTCTTTGGACAGCAGGCCTCACATCTGACGTCAGAGGCGAAGCTGGGGTGCAGTTCCCCTCTAAACCAGAGGGGAGCAGCAGTGATGCCATCATGTGGAATGTCCTACTTTGATATTTTAAAGTTAGCATGTTAACTAAAAACTGACCACAAAAATACAGCAATGAATTATTCACAATAAAATATTATAAAATAGGGAACTATACAGAATTCATGCTCTTTTAAGAATTAGCTTTTATATTTTATGTGGTTGAGTTTGTCTCTGCAATCATCTCTGAGTCTTCTATCTAATTACTTAATGAGCTCAACTCATCAACCTATTCAAAACATTATGAAAGTCCATAAAAAATTCAAAAAGTACCAATGTATAAATAATATTATTAGGAAAATATGGATGTTGCGCTCATTCATGTTCCAATTGGTTCATTGTGATCAGGATAGTTTGACCCTGAACTGGTTTCAGCACCCATTAGTTTTCACGCACCACTGCTCCCAGAAGGTCTGGTCTCCACCTTGCAAAGATTCAAACTGCCAAAGAAGCCCAGCCTTAGATTTCAAAACAAGAAAATCTATTTTTTCCCCCACCAAAATAATATAATCTGTGTCAGTCTCTTCTTTTGGGTAATGTACCAAGTGCAGAATGTTATAATACTTTCTTATTATGTGGTAACATTTTTATTAAATTTCTTACTGAAATCTCAATTTACTATATGGATTATATTACTATATGAAACATACAGTCTTCTCACTACGAGCTTTTTCCAAAGCCTGGATGCAGCGTACCGTGGGTTTGAATTCAAAGTTACATT